GACGGAACATTTTTGTTTAACAGCTTATCTTATCCTAATAGAAGTATCAGCATAATTAGCAAATAGATTAATAGGTTAAGGTATATAATACTCCACACACCAAAACATTTCTATATTCCCAAACGACGAAATAATGTCACTGTTTAAATAATGACGTCATTGATTTGCCCCAGACCTTTGTTTTCTCGTTTAGGGCACAAGCATTCTTTTACTTTGGGACCATACGCCGCTTTTCATGGAATGGCACTAGTGTGTCACATTGAAGGTTCCATGATAACCGCCGTATGAACACATCTGCGGATGTTCCTAAATTCATATTTTTTCCATTTTCGTGTTAAAGTTTAAGCCGGTGCTAGGGGGCGTGGACGGTAACTTGCACTTTCCATTACCGTCCATAAACAGGCTCAATCAAACCGAGCCTGCAACATTTTCAATTTTGTCTTGTTGGGCTTTCTTTAGGGATTCTGTATTTCTCTATTTTACTGCAAGCAGCAATTTTATCACAAGCGGCTCGTTATTATAGGAAATTTAAAGAGGGTAGATCTAGTAAAATAAAAGGGTTGTTTTTGCTAAATCAGTCCTGATAAAAATTCAAATATATAGACCTACAAACCGCAAATCACAGTTGTCTGCATAAAGTAGATCCTAAGTTTTCTAGATCAGTGATGAAATTTTCGAAATTCCTTTTCTGTTTTTATTTTCTTTATTACTGTCATGACTCAGTGACTTTACAGTGATACTACAATAACAAAAAAGTCTACTCTAATAAATCAATGTCTACAGTCTTGACGTATTTCCACGATAGCGTAATATTTACTTTTTTCCACAGCTGGTATGACGTCACTGCCCATGACATCACATATTTCATGCATTCTGTAGCGATGTTGCTTTCAAAATTTTTGTAACTATAAACATTACCAAAAAGGCAACTAGAGAGTATACGCTTTGAAGTACGAAAGCATTAATGTAGCCACTTTATGAATAATTCATATGCATTAGCATTAACTTGATTTATATACGTCTCGTTCTATGTTAAATATCTAGGGACAACTAAGTAGAGTGTAGCCAAAGGTTCTAAAAGATACAAATATCATAATATTAAACTTGACAAACTTGACACGCCTATATTACATCAGTTTAACTAAGAGCCTGCTGGCAGCGACCACCTCTACAAAGGCGACCAGTGCAGACCAATATCAGACCAACTTTGTTATGCAGTCTGATCAATGTCTGATCTGTTGGTAAATAATTTGGAATTGATGAATGGTTAAGTCCAAATTGAAAATGGACGAAAAATGGACGAGTCCATTGAATATGTTTAGTATTAAAAATGAATAGTTTAGTCCAAATTGAGTCCATTGAACATGTTTACCATTAATAAGGGTAATAACTCGTAGAAACATATTCTAATCATTTTCTATATTTCCAGTTAACTAGTTTCCATCAGGGCGTGGACGGTAACCTGCACTTCTCAGCACCAATCATAAAGAGGCTCAATCAAACCGAGTCTGCAACTTTTTCAATTTTGTCGTTTTGGGATTTGTTAAGGGATTCTGCTTTTCTCTATTTTAGTCAACGTACCAATATGTCTTAGAGTAAATTAAATTGAAGGATTCAAACAAAAATGACATTTTTATGTTACTTTCATTAACTTTACTTTAAACAAAAGCCTACTGTATTATCAAACACAAATAATCTAAAGAAATTTTCATACAACATTGTTGAATACGGAATACAGAAAAGGGACGAAGGTTTATTAATTTGTTACAACTTAAAAAGGAAGGTTAATTTGTATGAAGTTGACACAGTGGACTTTTACATGCATTTATACTTGTAATAAATAATTACTACAAATTAACGACTGCATGGGAACATAACCGGGTAATGTATAAATTGAACCCTTTCAAATACCGCTGTATGTTAAACATACGCTGTTATGTGCACTTCAAATAATAACACAATTGTTTAGACAGCCACGCGGATAAAATTGACATTAATACGATCGAAGAACAAATAAATAAAGCGCGTTAGCACGTGCAGAAACGTTACAATATGTTTAAATACACAATAAAAAAGCGAAATTATCATATGATCAGCATCTTTACAGATTTATAACATTTGCACACCTTGAATAAACTTGTGCAACACAATAATTTACTGTCATATAAATACACACATCATCTAAAATTACAGATTATATAAAAATGTACATTTGACATTAAAACAAATTAATAAAAACGTGAAAAATGGAATCCAACACGTTTTACAACAATTTAAAAATATAACTTCACTTATTACGACAATGAGGCATAAAATGTTACCTTTGGCTTTTTCTGCGGCTTTTAATTTGTGTAAGCACTAAGAAATAAACCAAATAACAACTGGGATGTATTCCGGCGCATAGTAATTCCTAAAACCTCCCACCAAGAAATGAAATCCTGCAAATAACAACCTGTAAAGTACTCAGAAATGAAACTTCATGCACATATTTACAGAAAATATACTTAAAATATGTAATCAGTCTTACCAAGGATGACTTGATATGGGCTAGTTCAAAATTTAAAAGAACTACTTTCTAGAATTTCTACAACAGACTGGGTCTAATTCCGTACCGGGGAGACAGCGGACCCGTAGATTAGAGGCCTTACTCCGCGCATCGTTCAGAAATCACGTGATGATGATCACATGTTTTTGTCAAGATGACGGATACGCCAAACAATCGTTGAACAATTGTTTATCTGTAATAATCAGCGAGATTATAACTCAAGTCTGTCGATATGATTGAAAAAAACAACACATTTTTGTTTAGTTTAGAATCGAAATTATTGGCGTCCGCGCCGAAGCGCGGCGCCCCTTTATGGAACGAAATCAGATTTTGTGAAAGGGCGACAGCAACTTCTCGAGCCTTTAAGTCGGTCATGATAAAAGCCGATCATTCCGATCAGTATGAGGGTGCTTGATTATTAATTAAATGTCGCGATATGTTACAATGAATAGCGAACTGGAGGATTTCGCAATGCAAACATTTTCAAATGCAATAACCTTTTCATTTTCAAATGCAATAACCTTTTCCGTCTCTTCGGTTTTTTATTTATCATTTTGTAGTACACAGTGGGTTATCATGGTATGTTAAAATAGAATGATGAGTTGATGACCTGAATATTCCGAAAATCTATTTATAGAGGGATGTACTCCTATCGGTAATTCCGGTCTCTCCCAGTCTATTTTGACCGTGATACTAGTGACCGGCGAAAAGTATCACACGTTTATTGTCCGATCTCTCCCGGTTTTTGGAGTAGATGTTTGATATCGTTACAGAACAGAACAAATATTTTACAGATAAATAAGCTTTTTTCCAAAATGAATGTTTGTCACTTAGTTTGGTTACAATAATTAATAAACATAGATCAACTCTCAAATATATTGATTATTATTATACATAAACATACAATTCGAAAAAAACAACAACAACAATAGCATGTTTCATTTTATCTTTACGAGATATAAACAATAAATATGTACAATAATTGTGAATAAAGGTACATTTTTATGGTTTTAATATGACTCTATTAACTTTGAAACATTTTTATTTTATTTGTTATTCGTGTTTAGTAAAGATGCCGGTGAATTATTCAAAGTAACAAATTAGATTTTATTAATTATTTGATTTTGAATGATAATTTAAAAAATGATAAAGAAAAATACAAATGTACATGTACATGGTTTAAGAATAAATAATATTATATATTGAAAGATTAACCATAATTTACTGACTTTTTCCAGTAAAGTTTTGACTTATAATCGTCGGTCAATATGAAATTTGAATTCTTAAAATTTATTTTACAATTTTAATAAAAAAAGAATAGTAAACGTAAAAAACTCAGTATTAAAATAGCACATAAAAACACAATAAGAGAGAGGAAAACAATATTCATAAAATCTGTATTAATTTTTTTGTTATTAAAATAGATATTACAATTATTGTATAATAAACAATAATGCTCAACATGACATGGTAATATAACCAGTGTCATATTTTTACTAAGTGTGAACAGATACCTTAGGAGGGGGTCTTCGCTAATAGCGAATACATAATAAGGGACAATTCCACAAGTGTGGTGTTGATCATGCGTTACACATGGGTATGGATGATAAATGATTGTATACATGTATATCCGTTGCCAATCAAAGTTCATAATGAACAATGTCTTCCGTCCGTTCATTTTGGTAAAAATCAATTAACCATTGAAAAGTTTATAAGAATATCTTGACATCATATGTCTACTAGTTCATCTTCACTTTCTTATTTCTTGCTTGGACGCCCTTTGATGCTTTGCATCAATGCTTTTCTTGTTAATTACTTGAATGATTTCTCTTTCGAAAGCGGCCATTGTTTTTTAAATAAACGGTGCGATATTAATTTCATTATATTTATGTTTTCGAAATTATTTTAGTTCACATGTAACAGCTTACGGATTTGAAACATTGGCAAAAACGTGTTTACTTTTTAAAACAATTATCAAAATTTTAAAAAATTAATCATATCGACGGCGGGGATGTAATCCTGTAGGGGGAGATCACTGCGTGGGGGATTAATTGGAGGTACCGAGGGGTTCCTCATTGTTTACGTATTTTATCGTCGGAAAATTTCACGTTCCCTCTTATTTATTTTGTTTTATAGATAGATAGTTTTATTCTGGTAAAAAATACATGTCATAAAACAACTACAAAATCAATGTCAACATCAAGAGATACATGTAAACATGAAAGTGCATGTACCAAGGATGACACAAAAAGAAGGCATAAGCCGACTTATTTCCATTGTGGTCCTTAGAATTGATCATATGACACCAGAAAAGCAAAATAATTACTAATTATGAAGTATTACACATAAATTATTCAATCAATTACCTGCAATAATCTATCTAAAAATAACATATTTAACCTTTAGAAATGCTGAAGACCGTTTTAAAAAATATTTTCTGATTTTTTTTATACAGTGGCAATGGCGCGTACACCAGGGGCGATGTGGGGTTTGTGGTGATCTATGGAATGGTACACAGCATAATGCTGACAAAGGCCAATACGATACCGGTATAATAGTGCGACGGTACACTGACGGCCATTATATAAACGTAACATTTGAAGTAAGTTAATTTAATCAATTAAATGTGTTGGAACCGTGTAGTCTGACCAGACTCTTCACTGCTTGTAGCTCATGTTTTGTACTTCAATGCTTTTCTTGTTAATTACTTGAATGATTTCTCTTTCGAAAGCGGCCATTGTTTTTTAAATAAACGGTGCGATATTAATTTCATTATATTTATGTTTTCGAAATTATTTTAGTTCACATGTAACAGCTTACGGATTTGAAACATTGTACTTTGTTATTGAAATCCTTTAACATTCGAATGTACTATTCGAGATTCATAGCATGTAAGAGCCAATGTTCTTCCTCAGCCGAGTAAGGGATAATGATAATTTTTATGTGAATATTTACTCGCCTAAAAGACTATATTTTCTTTCCATTTCGACGATAATATCTATTACATTGCCTTACAAGCGAATCACGCCAATCGGAACAAATATCTCTCCCATTGTGGCTGAGCGGTTGCTTTGAACGGCATCAGAACTGTAGCTACCGTTTATCCCCACGTAATCGTAAGAGGCGCCTAAAGGGGTTTGAATTACTGGAGTATATGCATCTCTTAGCTTTGACCCTTGGTATTGCTTTAATTTTGTGCGACTTGAGGTTAGCCAAATTCAGCCTTCCTTTTTCGGCGTCACATGCCCTTAATTGTTTTGGTGCGACGTAAAACCAAAATAAGAAAGAAAAAAAATACGAAAGTCGTTTAAATATATGCCATTTTGAAAGCAGCATACCTCCAGATTCATTCTAATTTTAAAGAAATTTTAAAAATGTACTTCAAAGAAAAATATTGTTATGTGAACAAAGGAAGATTTTCACTCATTTCAACAGCACTGACAAACCGCCAAAAAAAGGGTCAAAATGTGCAAAAATAGTCCTTATTGCGTAGGTAACGAAAAAGAAATATTGTTACAATTGCTGCGAATTCATTTATTACACATAACATGTATTGTTAAATCTTAAATCTTTTTTTATACTCTTAGTAAAAAAATCTCAAAATTGATTTTCAGCCTTAAGGCATGGAAAAAACTTTGTCTTAGATAATGAACCGGTTTGTCAGCAAATGAATAAGAGCATAATAATATACAAGAAATGTAATTGTCTCTTAATAGGTAAGCAGTAACTACCTAGGTTTTGTGGAGTTCAGACTTTGCCCACGTAATTCCACCAAAGAAGCACTCGACCAGTCCTGTTTTGACAGGTACCCGCTATGGATTGATGAATCACATGGTACAAGGTATTACATTGGATCACGTGGCGGTATATATGATATACACATCCGGTTGCCAGGTGGTCTGGTTTGCAAAAAATGTGTTTTGCAATGGAAGTATAAAACAGGTTGGATTTATTATTTTACTCTTTCAAATTCTGTAAACATGTTCCTAAAAACAGTTTTTTTTGCATACAAATTGTTGTTGAAAATAATCAAAGCAAACAATACTTTTTATACGCACCTTTAAAAACAGGTTATATTATCCCCCCCTCGGCGGGCTGGGGTGTCCCGGAGAATATCTCCTACACGCAGGATAATGAACACTTGTCCGGGGCAAAACTTCTACATGCATGGACGGATTTCAATATAACTTGGCACAAATGTTAACCATTGTGAAGCGGACTGTCGCGTGCAAAATTAAGGCCCCTGTCACCAAGGTCAAGGTCACACATTAGGGTCAAAGTTCAGATAAAAAATATGAAGATATGTATTCGGACCATTTAGTCATCATTTATTGAGGGATTGAAACACATTGGCCATTATTATAACTATGAAACATGTAACTAAGTAAGTCAACAAATAAAGTGACATTGTAATTGTTTTGGAAGACCCATAAATGTACGTTAAAAATGTTTGATTTTTTTTCACTTCGTGCATGACAACAAATTCCACAGTAAAAACTGACCTACCTAGGATATATGAGTCTAATTATTTCAGAAATCAATGACTGGGTATCAATGAAATCTGGTGCATTCGACTGACTGATAATATTTGACAAACAAGAATGTGCTGCAATCGGTAAAAATACCAAACAAACAAATAAACTGTAATGAATTAATCAATGTTGTTTTTACCAAATAGAAAAAAAAATCAGCGGATATACGTACATCATTTTCTCGGTTATCTGCTATGATAATTTATAAACGGACAGACGTTGTCAAAGACATTGTAAATCTTACAAAACCTTGGTAATAAATTTTAAATGTCATCAGGTAACCTTTACAATGTCTCATATCAAAGTATTTGTATAAATACTGACCCAAAAACCTACATATTGCATTTCGTACCTGAAATTTGATGAAAATATATACGTAAGTTTATATCGTATACAACGACATATATCACGACAAAAATAAAATGTTGAATGAAAATGTTAAGGTCTATCAACTTGTGATAATGGACAGAAAATATTAGGTGCTCACGCTAAAGCATTCGGCTGCAACGCAGCCGAGTCTTTTATGATACGCGTTTAACTTTGCGAGTCAACAATAAAAACAAAAGTATATCAATAAAAAAACATTCACATGCATCAGTTTTACACTTCAGGACGAATTTAATATATAAATAAAAAAAAGATTACTTGCTTTGTTGTTGCATTTTCCTCAAATTGAAATACAATATTTTCTTATCTCCGTGTGCAGATAATGGACTATGCAGCTGTTTGTAGTTTACCGAGATTTGATATCTTGGAACCAGGTTAAAATTAAATCAGTGCTAGGGGACGGTGACGGTAGCTTATAATTTCCAGTACTGTCCATGAACAGACTCAATCAAATTGACCTTGCAACATTTTCAATAAAGTCATTTTGAGCTTTCTTTATGGGGTTCTGTTTTTTCTGCTTTAAAGTAGAATTTAAAAAAAAATCAAAAGTGCAAAGTGCATGTGAAAGTATAATAAAAATCTTTGTGTGAAGAGAGGTATGGTCAATAATTACTTAAAATAAATAACTTTAATTTTAGAATTACGTCATATGCTAAAGTGTTTTATCTTTCTCAGGACAATGCAATAATTTGGCGACAAATCCTATGCCAGTTTTCTTCTTTGCAATATATTAAGTGTAGAAAACCATTTTTTTTTACTTCAGTCAGCAAAAAAGAAAAAATCTAATGAAAAAATAAGTGCACTAAATAATTGATATAAACCATATCACATTTAAAATCACGTTAGTGCGCTTAAATTTTAATACAAATCCTCTAATGCTGAATACTGCTTAAGCCGGTGCTGGAGGGCATGGACGATAACTTTCACTTACCAGTACGGTCCATGAATTTTATGTCAATTTCATGTTAAATTTTGCTGTTTTGAGCGATATTTGAAAATACAGCTTTTCCCCCTGTAATTACCACTACCGCCCATAAACAGGCTCAACCAAACCAAGTCTGCAACATTTTCAATTTTTTAGTTTTAGACCTTTAGGGATTCCGTGTTCTGTTTTGTCCCAACCCTTTTTTATATTGCCGGTGGTCCTTTGCTACTAGGTTTTGTTGAGGCCAAAGTTCAGTTAACATTTTTTTTCCTTGTCGGTCTTTGTTATCACATTTTAAAACCCGAACAAAAACTTGCAACATTATTTATTAACATGAACTTGCATATCTGTTCGTATGAAAACTATGAATAATAACATAAATGTGAATAATTCATCAATGTCAGTTCTCAATGACTTATTTTGATGCGCAAGGAATGTGTCCAACACGAGAATGATTTCATAATTGAACTTCTTTGGGCCATCTTTAAATAAATCACATTTAATTTCATTGAAAAAACGTTTTTTTTCTTCTTATTACATGTATTATGTTAAGAATGTGTAAAATGTAATCATTGCGTATAGCTAAGTGATTTAAAATTGTTTTAATTGAAATTAATTGAAAGTAGAAATTAATACCATTGCATCGATGAAAAACAGCATACCCAACATTTTTTCTTTGCAATGATACGAACAAGTTAAAATAAAGAAAATGGAAACCCTAAAGACGTCACAATTGAAAATTTTGCAGACTTGGTTTGATTGAAATATGATAAACAAGATCAACAAGGAAAGGCGGCGTTCAATGAACGCAAACCCAATACGACCCAGCAACAAGAACCAGTGGCAAGGAGCCCAGATGGACCCCAAAGACGGACAGGGCACAAGACAGAGCTTGGACAGGCTAATCACTAAATGATAAATAATTTGTAACTAATTAGGAATTCAAAGAAAACAAATAAATGATTGAATATTAGGCCCACAAAGACAAATGGCACAGGGGAAGGAGACCGAGGGAAGTTTGGGGGCGGGGGTTAATCAAAGAAATAAAAACTAGGGGTATAGGGGGAAGATACATACCGTAGACGAAAAAACAACAAGGGACACAAGCAAAAGTGTCACCAAAACAGTATGAAACAACATAGACATACATCTGAGGAACACAGAGGGGTGCCGCCTTGGAACAATCAGCTGCATAATAATGACTGCTGGGGAGTTTAAACCGGTTAATGGTGCACCAAACCTCGCTCTATGCCCAACCATGTTCCTATAAACGAGACAGTGTAAATAAAATGAATCCCCTCCAAATGAAATTCTAACAGTTGTTATGGTTACAAAAGGTTAAATAAGATAAACACTAAAATGATGATGTAGAAACATATAAAAGTAAACCCAATGACCATAACAAAAGTACTCAATGTTCTAAAGGAAGACAGAGCAACAAGAAAATCACGTACAAGGGCCCGACGAAGCAAGGCAGAAGACGAACATTAAAACAATTCAGTCCCAAAGGGCGTTAAGAACAGTCCATCATAGAGTCTCCCACTTGGTCCGTCAGATGTAATCAAAAGAGGAAAGCGTAGTGCCCAACTGTAAACGGGTTGAACACTAAACATGCAGTATGTCTTAAAAAGTAGGGTCATAACCTCTTTTAATAAAACGTTTAATGATTTTAGTAAAAACAGCAGAAAAATTACCATGGCCCAAAATCTTACGAAGTTTGTAAATCACATCGCCATAAAAACCAGGCTGGCTAATCCCTTGTCGCAGAAGAGTTTTTAAATCACTATTGAATTTAGAAATTAAATCAAAGTTACGATTGTAAAATTTAGTAAAATATTTCCGTTATTTATGATAGCGGTAACCCTGTTTTACAAGCTTGCTGGTAATAAAAATATTCCGCTCGTTGAAAGCCTAAGCTCTAGCGAATCTAACCAACTGAGAAACATATACCCCGTAAGATGTTGCATGGGGAAAGTCTTCATCTAAATGTGGATAATTAATTATACAAAAGTCAGTCATCTCTTTTATCATAGATTTTCGTGTGAATAAAATTGTTGTTGATAGTAATATGAAGATCCAAAAATGATGTACTAAAATTTCAAGAGTTCGTTTTATTAAGTTGTAGTTCATGCGGATAAATGTCAGACACCATTTGATCAAAATAAGGATTATCTAAATTAAAAATATCATCAAGGTATCTGGAAGTATTATTAAATGCGACTATAACATCTTGTTGTTTATCTTCAGAGAGACTCAACATAAAGTCTCTTTGCAGTACAAAAACAAATCGGCGACCAGGGTGAGTCTCTTTATAAAGGGCAGTGAAAATTGCAAGCTATTGTCAACGTCCCCCGATGACACCGGCTTAAGCAGAATTCAACATTTTAAATGTGAATTGATCTATAATGGACGGTCTTTAATACAAGGAATAATTATGTTGATATTATATATTTTAGATATATAAAAACAATTAAACGACGAAAGAGTTACATTGAAGTTTTTAGCAAGTGGTAAGATACGTGATCCAATGTGATATGTACATGTATTTATATAGCAGATAAATAAGTGTTTTTCAACAAAATATTATTATTCACCAAATATATGGTCATTCTAATTCACTTCAAACATAAAAAGCATAAGAAAAGCAAAATGTATTTTTATTGTTTTTATAAATATTTGAAATATCAAATGGAAAATGTGCCCATTGAAGACCTATCCACTTTTACAAGAAAAAAGTGAAATTTTGAATTAAGAAACATCCGGAGATGTGCTTGTTTACGATTAAAATAGTAAAAGACGAGTCGTTTAGCTCCGCCCATTGTTTTCTCGTTTTGGCCACATGCTTTCGTTTACTTGATGACCACATGCCGCATTTCATGGAAGGGCAAGAAAGTGTCACATTGAAGGTTTCATGATAACCGCCGTATGAACACATCTGCGGATGTTTCAAAATTAAGAATGGCACTATTTTCATGTTTGTATGTTGAATTCTGCTAAGCTGGTGCTAGGGATCGTGGTTGTTTCCAAATGTCTGTACCGACAATCAAATCGAGCCTGCAACAATTTCAATCTTGCCGTTTTGGACTTTCTTTAAGGATTAATATTTTTCTTTTTTTAAATTTTCAGGTTATCGCTACAATGGAGATGACACCTGTAAATGTTTAGGCTGTGGGAAACAGGAGCAGTATGTGAATTGCGCTGATATTGAAATCGCGCCCACAGAAGGGTGGCCAAAGGGGGAGATAACTCTAAAAGGTTCGGGAAGGTACGCTACTGGTACGCGGCCAGGCTACAAACTTATTGGGTAGAGCTGTGCTGCTTTTCTTTATTTTTCTTCTTATTAAAACATTTACTTGCATGAGTTTGAAGTTTAAATGTGTTTTTTTTTCTGCTATGGACTTGCTGGTTTGCTGTAATGAATTGGTGAACTGGGGCTATTTTAACATGAGCATAGCTTATTGGTAAATTGTCACGTTTTTTTTTTATCTCAAGCCGATGCTAGGGAGCATGAACGTTAGCCTGCAATTACCACTGCTGTTTTTTTAAAAAGCTTGTTCATGGACAGTTCTGGAAAGTGCAAAACTCATAATAATAATAATAATAATAATAATAATAATTGATAATAATGATAAATAAATAAAGGAATATGAAAAAGATAATAGAGAAATACTTATAAATAAAACAATTCAAGTAAAAACGACATACATACGTATAGGGATCACTTCTCCGTCTATCCGTCCGTTCGTCACAAAACTTGTCCGCACTACTCCTCTGAAACTACCGGTGCAATTTCATTCAAACTTTACAGGGGTGATCAGTTTTAAGAGTTGTTGTGCATATCGTAAGCATTCTTTGGTTCTATGATTTTTGTCAGAGTTATGACCCTTAAATGATTTTTACTTTTAAAATTTCTCCGGACTACTCTTCTTAAACTACTAAATCAGTTTCAATGAAACTTCACAGGATTGATAGTTGCTCAAGAACGTACGCATATAACACGGGTTTTCCGGTTTATTGATTTTTAAATTAAAAGGTGTTTTGTGTTGGCAGCTACACATAATCTTGTCCGGACTACTTCTTAGAAACTACCGTGTAATTTCAATCAATCTTTACAGGATTGATCAGTACAAAATCTAGTTTGAATATTATTGGTATTTTAAGGTTTAATGTCAGAGTTATGACCCTTTAATGAGTATATTTAAGTCTTATTTAGACTACTTCTCTTATACTACTAATGCAATTAAAATGAAAATTTACAGGATTGGTAGGTACACCAAATATTTGCATATATTAAACGGATATTCCGGTTGAATATATAAAAGTGTTTTGCCATGTTTAATGATTTTTTTGTGTTTCCTGCTACACACTAGCTACAGCATGCAAATGGCTATCATGAGACGATACATGTGATCACTGATCGCTCTGACCTTATAGATGCAATTTATATATTAACTGAGCAAGCCTTCAATAAGGTATGTGCTTATGAAATGAAATTAATGTATTGAATATATACAAATGATGCGAATACGACATTTCAGTAAGATACATCGCCCTACAAAATAGTATTCTGCACTCATAATTTAGTTCTGATTTGTACCACGTGACCTGCAACATATCAATATTTATTCTGTCCTAATAATTTAGTTCAGAATAAGTGCTTCCGATTTGTGCAACGTGACCTGAAATAAATGAATATTTTATTCTGTACTGATTTTCTTAAGAATTAGCGCTTCAGGTTGATCCAATATATACATATTTATGTCCCCTTTCAAACTTGTTTTGGACTTTCTGTATAGATTCTATTTCTCTATATTGTATTAAGTTAAAACGGAGCAGAAAGTTTTTATCTTGAGTGGGCATTGACGATAGTTTGAAAGTGAGGAGGGTAAACATTTCTAAAAATACTAAGTGTTAGTATCATTAGAATTATTTAAGTTTTTTCCCCTTATCTTTATATCTTTAATAGGCCTCAGAAATAATTTTAGTTTATTTTTCTCAAAAGCTTTGTATTCCCATTTATAACTTCAAAAGATACTCATTGGATGACCTCACAAAAGATAAACAAATTCGCCAACATAGATTAAATGTAAATTTCATATCATAATCAACATAAAAATTGTGAAACCACGTTCAATATTACAAAACTTTTTGCCAGTTATAAACGCATGAAAATTACACTGTGATTGTGCCTGTTCATGGACGGTTGTGCTTAGTACATGTTTCTATCCATACCCACCCCCTTGCACCGGCTTAAGCAGAATTTAACATTTAGTCATTAACTAACGAATTTCTTAATTAGGAACACCCGCAGGTATGTTCATATAACGATTATAAGGAACAATACCATGTGACACGTGTGTGCCCTTCCGTGAGAAGGGACATATGGTGTGCATACTGGCATTGCTTTATACCAATGGCGAATCGTTCACCATTTCCGGTTTTAACAGATTAAAAGTTGTACAAATAGTTACTAACAGACTTACAAACATAAAGATTTTTCAACGCCTGAAATGAATCATTTTCAACAAATTTTGATAAGCGTTTACGTCATGCGGATTAAAAAAATGTGTAGTTCTTAACGCGTGTCAGTCACGTGAGTGTTAAATATGACAAATCAAAGGGCAAAAACTACAGATGCATATTCATGTTTAGACGTTGAAAATACCCAAAGTCATGTGGGGGCCTAATAAATTAAGTAATATTAGTTTTAGCTTACTGCTTATTGCTATGATAAGCCTTTTAGCATTTTAACATGCATTTTATCGATGTTTCGTCTATGCATTGTCTGTTTTGTTGGATTTACGGCGCATCAACACAGTTAATGTCACATGAGGCCGAAATAGGAAAGACTTCGAAGCAACTGCAGTGGGCAAAACCACCTTACCTGCTGGAACTAAGAGATGTATAGACTTCAGTTATTTGAATCAGTTAAGTCCTCTCTTCCGAGCACGCAAGGATAAACAGTGGCTGAAATTCTGACGCCCTGTAGTGCATTATTTAAGTCACGAGCGGGCATCTGAGTAGAATCACCGATGTTCCGAAAGCTTGCTGGATAGCTTCCACACACATGAAATAATCCACAGTCCTAGACGGGATTCGAAACTAAGTGTTAATGGGAAAGTGATTTTAAGAAAACGACCTTAACTGCTAGGTCAAGGAGGGTCCACAATCTTGATATGTACTGAATATATGAATTAGATGTTGTGTTTGCTTTGTTTGGATAAGTATATGAAAAGATTTGAGCTTACTTAAAGGCACACACTACCTCAGAAACGATAATATTTTCCTTCTTCAGAAAGGGCAATCATGAGTTTTATACTGTTAAAATAAAATAATTGTTTAGAAAATGTAAGATGCATATCACCTGAAGAAAGTAGCACTGACTGTAAGATATATGTCACCAGAGTAGCAAAAAGGGAAAAAATATTTTAATTTCCGTATAAAATCACTATTACTATACCAATTGCTATATAGAAATTTACGTTCGGTTGAAATGGCCAATGGGTAACCATTTTCAAAACTAAAATAATACACCAAAATCAAAAAGCTTTCAGAAAATAAATATAAACTCATTTTTGTGGACTTCATGAGCCTTTAATAGCATGTTAACCACCCTGTTAAATATGTATTAATTTAAATCTGGAAAAACAAAACAATTTTGATTGTCGACAAATAAGAAAAATATTATTAACAGCTTCCGGAATAACTTTGAAAATCCGGGATTCTCGCAAACTCAGCTACCCTTTCTTATGTAATTAGAAAATAAACGAAGAGTTCAGTCAACAATGGGTATAAAATTAAACAAAAACTGGTCTTTAAATTTCACATACCCCTAAAAATGAGTGCTGGGGAGACAATCAAAGTTGAGTCCCCCATGGGGTTTTATCATTCTCCAACTGGGGTTTTGCTCTCCCATATGGCGTTTTACCCCGATTCTAGATAAATAGGAGGTAAAGGTAATGGAAAGATTTGGAAAGAATAAAGAATTAACTTTTAGGCAAGGAAATTATTGTTGAAGTCTCAAATACTTTATTGTGTAAATAAAAACATAAAAAGTAATGTTTGAAAATCCTCCCATTTTCGTTGCGGGAAAAATCCACCCATGGATGAAATCTCCCATTCTGATTATGGGGGGAAAGTCCCATGTTGATACATGGGAGAAAATCCCATTTCTGATAATGGGAGATAATTCCCATTACTTACAAACGGGAGAATATGCTACCTATGAGATGTGACGCTAAAAATGTGTACAATATGCAATAATAATATCACATCCAAATAACAGATAAAATGGCGCGTGATACACACCCAATAAAAATTTAAAAAAAAGATCATTATAATAATAATTATGATGATATAATAATAATACAAATAATAGTTATAATAATGATGATATGATAATATTTATAAATAAATTTATTAATAATAATAATAATAATAATAATAATAATAACAATAACAATACAAATAAAATAGAAATATATAAAAATAAAATAGAAATAATAATAATAATAATAATAAGACAAGCAATGGCATTTTATCTTGGAATATGACGGGAATGAATACAAAAAAGTATCATATGTAACGAATTAATGAACAATATCCATTTAAATTAAAAAGTTTCCAAAAAGCTTTGATGACCACAAGCTAAAATAACAAGTCTTCCCGGTTTTGAATTATTTGATTTCTTATTTGATTTTATTACATACCAATACCGCCGTAAGTTTTTTTGTTGTTGTTTTTTTGCAAAAAAAAAAAGATGTTGATCACTTCGTTTACTTGTAATAATAACCTAATAGAAAACAAATTTTTAATATTATTCATATAATGAAAATCAACAAGCAATTCCGATAATGGAAATTGTTTCATTTTTCTGTTATTATCATCGTCGGATGAAAAAATAATAGTGAAATTTTTTTAAGCAACTTAACAAAAATAAACAATATTAATAAGATAAAATGGTAATATGCTCAAAACATATATAACATGCTCTAAAACTAGTATCAAAACGATATAAAATCATGCTTGACTTTCTAAAGAAGTAAATATTTATTTATTTCTAAGGCATAATGTGCCCTTTAATTTAGCGGTTAACAGTTGATATATGACATTGATTGTTTGATTGCTGGAAATAGATAAATAAATGAATAAATATTATATTATTATTATTATTATTATTAATAATAATAATAATAATAATAATAAAAATAATAATAATGATAATAATGATAATAATAATAATAATAATAATAATAATAATAATAATAATAATAATAATAATAATAATAATAATAATAATGATAATAATAATAATAGATCAGTAATCATAACAATAATATTACATCAATAATCATTTATGAGTGTGCTATAAATATTATCGCCAGGAACCGACCGTGTTTTGTTGCAAACATTTTGAAAATGAATATATTTTATTAATGTTTCAAAAATATTTGTGTGAAATGTTAATCTTGTTTTGTTACTTTCAGAGCGGACGGCTCGTTCCCGATCTTTGCTGACGCCATTCAGCCTACGAAATCTACTCAGGCGGATTCGAACACGACAATCAATGCAGCGGCAAACATTTATCCGCCTTTAATACAGTCATCATCAGCTGCAATTGACGTCACAAAGATTTCATCAACGTCATATCTTTCACCGTCCAGGGATAAGATTTCACTTTCACCCATACGAAATATTCCAGTTGAAAAACTAAATATAACATCTGTAGATAATATTAAACCAAGTATACGCCCATCATCATCAACCCATTTAACTTCTATAAAATCTACTCGTGCTTCTTCAGTGACGCCATTAACGACATTACCATCTGCTTTATCATCATCTGTGTCTGCAGCGCCACCTGTCAGACCGCGGGTCATAACACTTGATGATATACGTAGGCAAATTGTTAGAAAATTAGGAAGTGAAGTTGCAAATGGAATGAAAGTGTTCTTTTCACCACCTGTAGATGCTGGTCAAACGCCAAGACCAGTTACCCAGAGACCTCATGTAGGCAGATTACCCGTGGCACCTCAAAGACCGGAAGTCCCAAATACTCAGTTTGTCTCTGTAAGTAATATCTTAGATAGGTTTTATCCGAATCCGAACTACATTACACCATTGTTATTTTCTCTGGCTCAGTCAAATGCTTCCGGGTCAAAGACATCGAATGGATGTGATGTCACTTCCGATGAGTTTCGATGCAAAGCGCGAGGAATATATAATCAAAGTCCCGGCATAAGTAAATGGTGTGAAATTAATTGTAGAGCAAGCAATTGTGTAACTTTTATGTGCGAGTGTTCCTGTGAAGATAAAAAGCATAACCAGCAAAACACTAGTTGCCACGCGATTGCCGAGTTCCACGGGGTTGAAGGCATGGATCAGTGGTGCATAGCTAACTGTAAAGTAGGTTACTGCCCGGCCAATACATGTAGTGTTGACGATTGCCTCACTAAATCAACAAATGGTGAAGCGTGACTAGCAACGAACTCGGTGTTGTTATCTGCAACATCGACGCCTCGAACAACAACAACAGCAACATCATCTACAAAAACAACAACAGCGGTTGCACTGCCAATACTTACTGCGAAATCGGTTATGGTATCAAAACAATTAACAAACCCAAGTTTCTTTCCTTTTATGCCTGAAGGGAAGCTACTGTGGTCATCTAAATCGTTGAGGAGTCGTATAAAACCATCGGTTTTGTTCACACCATGAGTTTGACCAATAATTACTGGAAGGATAAAAAATACCGAAAAGGTCACAATGTAGATTAAACGGAAGGAGAACGCTGAGGATGAGATTGAGAATTGGAATTATGAAAACAAACAACAAAAAAGGAGTAAATTCTAAAGCTTAATTTGCATTTAAATAAGCTTGTGAATAAGTGATTAAAATACAAAATAGCGTCAATATTTTTTCGGTATCAGAAAAAATCGTCATTTTTTCAATATTTTGTGACCAGTAAATTAATTTTGGTTTCAGTAATTGATATCATGTTTAGCACAAATAACTCCTTACTGGCAGTTTCCTTATTGTTTCGATGCCAAGCTGCAAAAAACAGGGACAACTTTGACAAAAGTGTTATAACGACAGAATATGTAGATTGACTAGTCTAGTAAAATATTATAATATTCAAAATATACGTCACGTATTTTCGGAATAGTTGAAAAATATACTTATGACATCATTTTGCTATTTCATGAAGGTGTTGCTATTTATTTGTGAGAGAAAAATGAAGTAGACATCTGTCTAGTAGTAATTTATCTTTGACTTGATTGTGAACGATGCATTTACTTGAATTTTGTATACATTTGTAACATACATACGTCTTTGCCAAGATTGCGAACTTTAACTTATTATGTGTGTGCACGGGTTGTCAACTATGTATACAGTGCACAGCTTGGGATCTTTAAATATGTGTTGTGGGCGGGTTTTGAACGAAGCATAAAGTTGTGCCCTTATTGTAATCTATACATGTGCGTGTGTGCCCGGGCTGTGAACTATGCATACATTTGTGCCTTAATTTGTGAACTATACAAATATACATTGAACGTTGGATTGAGCCGCCGTTGCGCAAATGTGTGCCAAAGTTGCAAACAATGTAAACTTTGAATGCATGTTTTCACAGTTTTTTAATTATACATACAAATGTACCTAGTTTGTTAACTGTGTTTAAAGCTTTAATTTTGACATTGCGTTATTAAGCATCATTTATTCATGTAACCATTGTTTGGTTAACGTACATATTTACAATTATTTATTTTCGTTTGCATATTCAAATCATTATGTAACATTCCGGTGATTTGATTAAAAACCAGTGATATAATATATTTATATTAAACATTAATTATCTAATATCGTTAATGGCGTGTTATATATACATTTTGTTGTAGTTTTTACGGAATACACTTCTTAATATATTGCAATCTGACTATGTTAGAAGTGATAGACTAAACGTTCATATTAGTTCCTGTTAATTATTAACCTGTATCGCATGTAACATTTTGCTAAATGGGCCAACGCATTACACCTGACGGGGTTCGAACTTGTAAGAATTTGAAGGATTTATAAATGACGTCACACAGACGTCATCAACGTCCTATCTTTCACCGTCTAGGAATAAGATTTCACTTTACAATATACAGTATAATTATTCCAGTAGAAAAAAAAACTAAATATAATTGTGTTCATACTAGGTTAACGTATTTACAATTTATCTATTTAGTTTGCATAATTATTCAAACTTTATTGTAATTTTAAGTCCGGTGATTTTGGATATGTAATAGTTATCAGCTTAAATGAGATAACTCCGCCGAAGTATCAAAGTAGAGTTTTATCTCTTCCCAGTCAACGGCTTCTAGTAAATTGCAGATCGTTGATATCAAGGTCAATATTTTACTGGAACTCGAAGAGGCACTTGTCGTTGAAGAATTTTTGTTTCACATTGAAAGTTTTTTTTCTAATACAAACAAAAATCAATTTTTATTATACATTAAAGACTGCCAAAATTATCACAGGATGCAAAGATAGAGTCCTGTAAGAACTGCCAACACGATAAAAAATTGTTTGCATGCTCAAGTTTGATGGAGTCTGTTCATAAACGGAAGTGGCCCCCGCCCGTGTTGCCTTTATTAGTAACGGCACCAGAATTACCACTGTTTATCCCTGCATTATCGTAAGATGCCACTTAAAGTATCTAAGATACTGGAGTATATATGCATCTCTTAGCTCAAACAGATGAGGTGGTTTTGATCCCCTGGTTTTCGTTTTGAAGTATGTAACATCTAGGTTAGCCAAACCAGCTTTCGTGTTTCAGCAGAATTGAACATTCAACATATAATGGTATTTTTTTTAGTCCCCTACCGGTTTACCGGAGGGGACTTTAGGTTTACCCTCCGTCCGTCTGTCCGTCCGTCCGTCCGTCAGTCCGTCCGTCTGTCCGTCCGTCAGTCCGTCCGTCCACAAAACTGGATCCCGCCATAACGCAAAAAGTACTGAAAATATTTTTATGAAACTTGATATATGGATAGATGGCAGTATGGAGATTATGCACGTCTTTTTCTTTTCTTCCTATGTTGAAAATTCTGGTTGCTATGGCAACAAATAGACTGAAAATATGGCAAATTTTACACATAACCTGGATCCCGCGATAACGCAAAAAGTACTGAAAATATTTTTATGAAACTTGATATATGGATAGATGGCAGTATGGAGATTATGCACATCTTTTTCTTTTCTTCCTATATTGAAAATTCTGGTTGCTATGGCAACAAATAGACTGAAAATATGGCAAATTTTACACATAACCTGGATCCAGTGATAACACAAAAAGTACTGAAAATATGTTTATGAAACTTGACATATGGGTAGATGGCAGTATGGAAATTATGCACATCCTTTTCTTATCTTCCTATATTGAAAATTCTGGTTGCTATGGCAACAAATAGACTGAATTTCAAGATTTCTGATTCTAGTTTTTAAGTTTTTTCACTATAAGTTCTTTATTTCTTAAGGTATTTTCTTCAAACTTTAAATATAAGTTGCTTGTCATCAACCACATTATATGTGACAAGGTTTACATTTCTAGCACAAAATTTATCAGAATTACCTCCCTTGAACTTAAAATGTTCATGAAAAAAACATTTTTTTTAATAACTTCTTTTTTTGAATGTATCTACTTCAAACTTCATATAAATGTTTCTTATTATCACTCAACATTTGTGAGTGTTCAATACTCTAGCAAGACTATTTCCAGAATTATGCCCCTTTTGAACTTAGACTTTTTTTTTTAGAAATTGGTTATTTTTACTCCAACTTCTTCAATCATGATAGGATTTTAAAAATGTTATATTTTGATAACAGGGATGTTTAAAAAATAACTTTAGAGTGTCCGTCAGTCTGTCTGTCTGTACATAAAAACTGTTTCCTGTGATTACTTTTAAATAACTTTTTTTAACAAATTTACTTAAAATAGGAACATAAGTGAATGGCCAATGCCCTTCAGAATGTTGCTTGGGCTCTTACCGGTAGGGGACTTATGGATTGCTTGCAATACTATGATAATTGCTTGTTTAATTTAAAAACATCCACATATGTGTTCATACAGCGGAACAGAGTTTAAAGTGCTTAGCGATATTGCTATTCCTTGAGTTTGGGAGTGTGATCCCGAACTTAAAATACCCGTGTTCTTACCATTGATCTATTTTTTAAATAACTGTTGAAAGAACCTACATTATAGATCCTCAACATCGTTTCATTACATCCCTTTAATTGATACGCAACTAGTTTAATATATATTTTACGTAAAGTTGATGATTAAATTACCTTCGAAAATCAATTAAAGGGAGCTAATCAAAGATGGGACTAAATATGGCATAGCAACGAAACTGTTTATAACAAAATAATCATTGAATTGGAAGCAAATTATATCCACCGTGTAGAGACAGAAACTGAATCACTGTAACAGTTTCATTAATACACGGATTGACAGTTTCCGAACTAGCAGACGACAGGCTATTCTTATCAACAGAATTGCGAGTAAAGATAACCTAAAACGTATGTAAAATGGTCTGACTTGCGGTAGGTTTAACCGTAAATTTAAATACATGAAGTGTCAAACAATGTGTTGAAATATATACTGAGACAAAGCTAAGATCACAAGCTTTTCATTGGTGTAACAAAATTAAAATCAGACATTAAATCTCCCGAAACTAGCGGTTTAAAAACTGCTAAATGTGCATTGTTTTGCATTAGAGAACGATTTTACTCGAACCTAAGGGAAACAACTCTTGTTTTTTCACTTGATATACCCCGGTTATTTACGTAGTTCATATAGAGACTGTCAATGGGTGTATTGTGTTACGGTATTTAATTGTTCATAGCTCTGTAGGAAGTGACGCCTTACAGTATTGAATTCTTATTTTCTCTTTGAAATGATCCAGGGCAGTGGCGTAGCTTCCTATAGGCACTGTAGGCACGTGCCTACACTTTTTTCTCAGATATGGAAAAATTGAATTGCCAAAAATGCAATAAAAAGTGAAGGGGTTGGTGTGGTTGAAGTGTTGGCCCTTTAGATATAGAAATGATAAGTCATCCTATTTGAAAAAAGATGAATTCGAGTAAATTCGTTTTATCTTCTTTCATATAAGCAAATGTACGAAGTAGTTCTGTTACGAACCGCAGCGCTAGCTAACAAAACTAAGAGACAGATGACGTCACATCAAAGTTTTTGAGCGCTTAATTTCAAAATGTAAATAAAGCAAAAATGGCCGACCAGAATCCGCAATATCCGGATATCGGTAGTGTTAGCTTTAATGCAAATGATGAGGAATCAAAGAGATGTCTTCTGAACCAAGCTTGGGCATCGTGTTTGTCATATCCTTTTCCCTTTAGGTAAGCAAGATTTTATAATTATTTTGTAGATTCTAAATTAATTATTTGATTCAAACACCGTGTATCCTGATATGATGCTCGTCCAACGTAAGGCTTGATTGTTTTCTATTTATCTTTAAACAAAATACATAGCAAAGTCGAAACAAGTTCACCAACTGGATCTGGAATAATTTTCGACGTGAAACATAGTTTCTTTAACAATTCAAGAATTGTTTTTACCTATATATATATAATTGAATATCAATTTAATTGTAATGCTGCAATAGCGCAGCGGTAGAGCATATCGTCACCTTGGCGCAAAAAGTACTGTAACTGACATTTTTGAAATTTTACAGGAGACACAAAAAACTGATTTGTTCATTTTGAGTAAACCCTTTTAATTCCAGACAATAATGTTCAAATATCATAAATAAGTAGTATTAAATTGGTTTTAAACATTACAATTATTCATTTATGGATAAAAAGTAATTAGACATTCTTCTACACTTACATGACTTTTTGCACTGTGATTTTAAACGCAAAAAGTGATGTAAGTGCACTTACCATAGTTTTTGCACTAACTTTAACTTTAAGTATCGAAGTTACTGCATTGCATAGACATTGAAAGATGTTTATTACAAACAAATTAATTGTAAGGTTTGTTTAAAATAGGTCTTTGTGGATTATGAACCATATTTAATACATTAAACATATGAAAGGAAGTTTAAAAACTGAATATTTTAAAATTAATTTTAAACATTAACAGTAAACCCAAAGCAGTGTATTTTTTTTAATTTCAAAGTAAATGTAAGCATTAATCACAACAAAATTACATGAAAACCGCAGACTCACTTGATTTAAGTCTGTACAATTGAGCAATAATGAAAAGTGCAACATCCCTCACGCCCCCTAGCACCGACTTAAGCTGTACTCAATTTTCAACACTTAAAAGTGCTGGAATCAATGATTACAGAGGACCAGAAAAAACATAACAACACTGAAGTGAAGTACGTGACAACTTATTAATCATGTTTTTTTTACTGTTGTCATTTTCTAATGATACAGTTTATTTATGTATTTGTTTTAAAAAGGGGTATTTGGAGATCTATATATCATAATATCTATGTCTCAATAATATCCAATCATCACAGGGACGTAGACTTTGAGATTTAGGATAAAACAACTATGAATCCTGAACTTTTCAGAACATTTTGGTTGGATGAAGTCGAGATTTTTGATGAACCTCCTAAGAATTGTCCAACATATCCTAGTGAGATCCTTTTATATTCCTTTTATATAGATGCACCACATTAGACTTAACATACTAGCAATTATGGTTTTGACCAATATATTATTGAAACAGATTACATGCCTTTGTCTGCCATGTTTTTATAGAAATTAAAATAGAAAAGATACACCAATGTTAGCTGTTAACTGTTTCTTTCCAGGGCTATAAACAGTGAAAATGCAGTTACATTTTTA